GCACTTAGTTAGTTAATTTAATACCCAGGAGCAGAGAGGAAGATTTTCAAAGAATCCATGTAATTTCACTACATGTATATAATCTATAGAGCCCACCCTAACACCAGAACCCCTAACTCTGGGGCCATGAAATTCACAATTTTGGTAGAGGCACTCTTGCTCATCATAACTATGCACTTAGTTAGTTTATCTAATACCCAGGAGCAGAGAAGAAGATTTTCAAAGAATTCATGTAATTTCACTATTATAATCCATAGAGCCCCAACCCTAACACCGGAACCCCTAACTCTGGGGCCATGAAATTCACAATTTTGGTAGAGGCACTTTTGCTCATCATAACTATGTACTTAGTAGGTTTATTTAATACCCAGTAGCAGAGAAGAAGATTTTCAAAGAAATAATACATTTTCACTAAAAAATCAAATAGCCCCGCCCTAGCACTAGAACCCATAACCCCGGGGCCATGAATTTCACAATTTTTGTAGAGGACTCAATGCTGATTATAATCATGCAAAAGTTTGACTGCTTGATGTCCAGGAGTAAAGAAGAGGATTTTTAAAGATTGCACTAATTTTAGTGGTTTTGGCCCCACTCCCTCAGGCCCCAGGGGGGCAGGGACCATGAAATTCCCAATTTTTGTTCCCCTTAACCCATAGATGCTATATGCCAAATTTGGTTGAAATTGGCTCAGTGGTTTCAGAGAAGAAGCTGAAAATGTTCAAATGATAACGCACGACGCACGACGAACGACGACGACGACGGACGAAAGTGATAGCAATAGGTCACCTGAGTTTACTCTAAAAATTAAAAATTCCTAAAAATTCTTGTTCAAAATACTATATGCTGCAAAAAATAAAATTAATACGGCTTTAACTGGTCCTGTTTAATACACAGGTATTATAGCCATATCATAAATCTAGGGGGATGCCCGTTCGTATTTTGTCGGTTGATAAAGCTTCTTCTTACGAACATGTATCTTAAAAATCTCCATATAATTCTCACGGGTGCTAGTGGACTGGACCCCCCCCCCCCCCGCCTTAACATCCCAGACCCAAAGCTATCTTTTAATTTCACTATAAAAGCCCAAATGCTTCTCGAGATACTAGTATTGCTCGAAACAAAAGTGTAACAGACGGACAGAATTATAAGAGCGGGCAGACCGAAATTAATATCCCCAACTTTCGGTGGGGCGGGGGGGGGGGGGGGGGGCGCAAAAAATGGAAGTTTAGTGAATTGTGTTTTTGACATAGTTTAAGATATATGAGAGCAAGTCCCATATTAGCATGCGATCAAAGGACCTATGCCGCCCTCCACAACCCCTGGACTGTATATAAATCCGGGTCCAAAGATATTTTTTTGGCTTTCTTTCATTAATAACATTTACAATTTACAACATACAAAATTGATACCTGCAGTTAAAAAGTCAGAGGTGATTTAAGATACTTCGGGCATGATTTTTTTTAAAATAAAAAGTAAATTCTATGTACTTTCTGTATTTTTGATATGAAATACATTGTAAATATGTACTAGACGGTTAATTCACGAAAGAAAATCATGACCCCCAGGGGTAGGGCGGGGCCACAATAGGGAATAAGCACAGGCACCTGACGTTACTTATTTTTCTTTTCATAAAAAAATATACACATACAGTGTACCTATTTATTAGGTAACGTCAGGTGCTTGTGGGAATAAATTTTACATATATGGAATAGATCTTTAAAAATCTTCCCAAGAACCACTGGGTCAGGAAAGCGGAAACTTATGTGGAAGCATCCTTGGGTAGTGTAGATATTAAATTATTAAAATCATGACCCCAGGGATCATGGGGGGCACAATAGGGAATCCAAGTTTTACATAGAAATATTTAGGAAAAATCTTTTAAGAATCTTCTTCTCAAAAACCACTGGGCCAGGAAAGCTAAAACTTAGGTGGAAGCATCCTGGGGTAGTGTAAATTCTAAAGTATTAAAATCATGAAAGGGGAGGGGGTATGGGGCTTGATAGGTATAGCAAGAGGGGAAATCTGATATAGAACTGCATCACCTAGGTAACTCAGGTGAGCGATGTGGCCCATGGGCCTCTTGTTTTTGTTTTGTTTTACAACAGGATGATGAATATACCGGTATATTTTTCCTTACAAATGAAACCAGTTATAATTTCGGTTATTGTTTTTATATGTATATTGGACCTTCGGTCAAAATAACTCTGTGTGTGGTCAAAAGTACGTAGTGTATCTTCTAATTTTATATTTTGACGAATAATGCATGTTTAACAAACAATGATATTGTGGAGCCTTACTTTAAGACAAAGAAAAGAACTTTACTAAAAAAAATGTACCATCTTACATAAATGCAAATTTACAGCCTTTTTTATAATCCACACATATTAACAGATATACCTGTACAAACAGTCGTCTATAGGAACGAGGTTGAGGGGCTGGGAATAACCCCCTCTTCACTCAGTTCATGTACATGCAAGGAGGATGGATGAAAACTAAAATAGGAGCCATCATGGATTTCTATGAAAATCATCCAGGCTATTCCCTGGACAATGTGTGGTTGGAAAAAAGAGTGAAAATCCCATCTCTTCCATGACCTAGAGTGAGGGTGAAAATCAACCAACATTATCAGCAATACAAATGGGTCACCTGTACTCAACATTCTATGAAAGATGGGACACCTGTGAACATGATACTGAATGAAAGTCTTTGGTATTCGGACATCAGAGACTGTGTGAAACATTTTTTTCAAGATGGAGAAAAAAAACTGACTTTTCCAGATTATCACGGCGTTAGGCAGTACGTGTATTGTCGCATCCCTTTTTCCCAGATTAAAGAGTCGATGGAAAACAAAGGACTTTTGTTGACTCGAGTGATTGAGGACCGATCATCAGACGAAGAAGAAGAAATAGAAGTGTAAATCATTGAATAAATTTTTGAATTTAAAAAAAAAGTGTTGTTATAAATACAAAGGTCTTAAGGTTTAGGGTCTCAGTCTTAGATTGAACATGGCTGAGAGCAGTGGGTTTTACATGACTTTACCCAGTGATGGATCTATGTCCTCTTTTTCTAGCAATACGACCGCTCAATTTAAAACCTTATTGCCACAAACAGTGGATTTAACCGACGGAGAATGGGAAGTGGCTTTAACAGAAATGATGTATCCCAATTCATTGAAAAACATTACAGAAAAGGAGGCTTATTTTGACATCCTGATCCCTCAGTCTTTTGCTTCCCATATCAAAGACCCCGATGTTTACGGCAGATTTAAAATGAAAACCTTAGACCCAATACCATTAAGTCAATGTCCTGTACTGCTCGATTGGGCCCATACTAAATGGCCTCAACTCATCGATCGAGATAGCAAGATGGAAATTAGACGAATTCACTTCAGACCCGGGCCTTACACTCATCCCATGGCTTTAACAGAGGAAATAAGTCTAGGACTAGAGAGATCATTGAAAAAAAAATATGGAGAACCCTTGGTCATCCAGATGAAGAAAATTCTATGAAATAGTATATTATGAAACCTATGATCGAGTGGTGTATCAATTTAATGGAAAATTGCTTAGAAAAACTCCCTTTTGCATTCGTTTCCCCACATCCCTAGCTTATAAGCTAGGCATGGACAGTCAGAAAGTCATTCTTCAGAATGATACAGAAAACATGACCAAATAAATCAACATTAGTTACTTGGGAAACAATACTGTGGATTTATATGAAAATCTGAAATCCATGTATGTCTATTGTGACTTGATTCAAACCCAGACGGTAGGATCCAATGCCTTGAAATTATTAAGAGTGGTGCCTAGTACATTTCATTTGGAGGACTCAAAACAACCCATTCGAGCGGAATATTTGAAACTAAGTAAAAAACATTTCGATACCATTGAGATTCACATCATGACTCTTTTAGGACAACCCATGCCCTTTGTAAGTGGTAAATCAGTGGTGAAACTTCATTTCAGAAAAGTATACTGAGATGAATGTACCCTTATTGTGTTCCATCTTATTAGGCGTGATGGCTTGTCTGGTCTGCTGTCTGTATTGTATTCAGCTGTAAAGGTATAAAAGGAAGTCCCCCGAGGATATAAAGGTCAGTTGAACAAAGACATGAAACATGCAGTATCATCCCGGATTACTGAGACAAAGAGGACACGGACAGTTTGTCTATCATTGAGGATTATTACATCAAAAAGGACACGGTTTTTTAGGATCCCTATTTAAAGTAGCAGCTCCTTTAGTCAGCAATCTAGTAGGAGGATTATTAAGAGGGGCTCAGCAGCAACCCCCACCACCACCACCACCAGGCTATTACCCACCCAAAAACTATCAAAGAGGGGAAGGATTTTTTACTGATTTACTGAAAACCGGAGCTAAACACGCCTTGACTGCTGCTGCTAGAACGGGGTTAGACGTATTAGAAAATAAGAGATCTTTAAAAGACGCAGTCAAAACTCACGGATTACAAGCTCTAAAAAATACTTCGGGAATGGTGAAACAAAGAATGAATCTAGGAGGTACTAAGAAAAGAAGAAGAAAGAGAATGAAAAAACAGAGGGGATCGGGAATGGTGATTAAAATAACAAGAAGAAAAACGACAGAGAGGCCGAGGATTTTTATTGATTTACTGAAAACGGGAGCTAAACACGCCTTGACTGCTGCTGCTAGAACGGGGTTAGACGTATTAGAAAATAAGAGATCTTTAAAAGACGCAGTCAAAACTCACGGAGTACAAGCTCTAAAAAATACTTCGGTAATGGTGAAACAAAGAATGAATCTAGGAGGTACTAACAACAGAAGAAAAAAGACCCCTATGTTAGCCCGAGGAGGTCCTAAGAGAAAAAGGAAAACACAAGGAGGAATTCCTAAAAGAAAACGTCCTTGAGATGTGTTTGACTGAGAGAGTATAAATAGGCCAGTCCAGTGAACAGAAGGTTCATTTGTGAAAACTGAATCCTAGTAGACACATCATGTGACAGCCCGAATCCTGTGCGTGTGGGATGAACAATTTACAATTGTTTGAAGTCCCTCCCACTAATATTGCTTTAGAAGACTCGAAATGGGAAGAATATTACCCCATTTCCAGTACTTTAGATTCGGAGACAGCTCCCATCGAATTTGAAATTAAAGGACAAGGAGATCACTATCTGGATTTATCTCAAACTTATCTTCAATTGGTATGTCAATTTACCAAAGACGATGGAAGTAATCTGACTGGGGCTAACAGCACTTCGAGTCCAGTGAATAATATCTTACATTCCATGTTTACGGAAATAGATGTCAGTCTGAATGGGAAAATAGTGACCCCGGGGACGGATACCTATCCTTACAAAGCTTATCTGGAGAAATTATTGTCATACCAACCCAGAACTTTAAAGACACAGATGAGGGCCTGTAGTCTGTGGGAAAAAGATACGGCAGGACACATGGACGAAGTGGGGTTAGAGGACCTTGGTGTAGCTCAAAATAAAACCTTTAATGTAACTAAAGGTTCAAGTACCGACACGGTGACCATTAACGAACCCATCCTCACAGCGTTACCGGACAATTCTAAAAACGAAGGATTCCGAAAAAGACACCAAGCTATTGCTGGGAGTAAGAAAATCAGTTTGCTGGATCGTTTACATCTGGATTTGTTTCAACAAGATCGATTTCTGCCTAATGGAGTGGACGTCCGTTTGCGATTTAATCGAGCTAGACCCGCTTTCTACATGATGATCAAAGGAGGAAGTACAGGAAAAGTGAAAATTTTGAGTATGATCTTGTGGGTGAGAAAAGTCAAACCCACAACAGTCATGATGAATGCCATTAATCAGAGTTTGAATACCCACAGAGCCAAATATCCCTTGAGAAGAGTGGAAGTGAAAACCTTTACCATTGGCTCAGGAACTCAGTCTAAGATTACGGATCATCTATTTCAAGGCCAGATGCCTAAACGTCTCATTTTAGGCTTTGTGGAGAATGCGGCCTTTAACGGAGATCAAACTAAAAATCCCTTTCATTTCCAAAACTTTGGGATTAAGAAATTAGATGTCAGTATCAACGGAGAGACTCGTTGTTTGAGCCTAATTTCAACGACAATTTATATCTGAGATCATATCTCAGTCTGTATCAAGCCCTGGGAAAATTAGGAGACGATTGGGCACCGGACATTACCCTAGAAGAGTATAAAAGCGGCTACACTCTATGGGGCTGGGATTTCACTAAAGATCAAGAGGCGCAATCGGATAAATTCCACATCATAGAAACAGGAAATCTGAGAGTAGAAGTGCAGTTTACCAACAATACGGCTAACACCATCAATTGTGTGGTGTATGCAGAATTCGATAACCTATTAGAAATTAACAAACAGAGAGAAGTGAGCATTGATTACTAATGGATACGGGACAATTGAGAGAAGTCTTATCCAGAGAATTCAAGAGTTCTTTTGGGGGTGTGTATCCTGTAGATTTATTACCGGATCAATTAAGACCTGGAGAAAAAGCTGTCGTGGTAAATACGGATCCTCAAGATCGACCTGGAGAACATTGGGTGTTTCTGTATGTGAGCAATCCCGTGGTGGAATATTTCGATTCTTATGGATTTCCTCCCTTACAAAAAGAAATTCAAGAGTTTATCCAGCGTCATGCTCAACAATGGATTTATAATCCGTATCGCTATAAAGACTGGAATACCGATGTGTGTGGACAATATTGCGTGCATTATTTACATCAAAGAGACAAGAAAAGAAAGAAAACCGACGAGTGGTTATTCCCTTTTGACCAGAGTACGGCTTTACAAAGGGACAGATACGTAGCGAATTGGTTTAAAAACACTTATCATAAATTACCTACGGGTCATGGACAAGTGTCAATGTTTTTATCAAAATGTATTGTAATGCATTGTTGTTGTTGTTTGATGTTGCTGTTTGTTGTTACAAATAAAAGGGGAAAAAATGGTGTTTTTTGTCATTTTTAAAAGTAGGTTATCTCCCTTTAACCATAGATTATTTTTCAAAACACAAAACAAAATGGTAAGGGTTTAAAGATTGGGGGGGGGGGGAATAGATACAATGAAAAAGTATAAATAGTAAACATGGTACAAAACACACCTCAGTTGTGGACTGGCTTCATTATGGGTAACAGCTTCAGCAAAGAAAATGAGTCAGAACACTAGATTAGAGGAAACTGAATGGTTACTTAAACAGGAGGGAGAAAAAGATATCATACCACCTCCCTTGATGGAAGAACATCCTGTAGAATAAAAACCTCAGGAGGAGGAGGAAAACATAAGACCAAAGATTAAATTAAACAGATGTTATTAGAAAGAAGATTTTCTATGCTGTCGAAGACACAAAGTGAGAATAAGACAAAGAGAAGAATTAGCCCTAAGACTTTGTAATTTTAGAACATTAAAAAAAAAGATAAAAACAACACATTCTTGTTTGTCCATATAAAAAGGGGGGCATGACTTGAACCATCAGTTTGAACCATGAGTCTTCAGGAGATACAGGGTGATTTATTAAACAGTGAGGTTGAAGCGATTGTACATCAGTGTAATTGTTTAACTGTGAAAGCTCATGGATTGAGTCAAAGTATTGCAGAGAAATTCCCTCAAGCGAATGTGTATGCGACTCGCAGACCGATAGGGACTAGAAATTTAGCCGTAGAAAAAGAGGAATTCCAGGAACTATTAAGGTGTTTACCTCATAAACACCTGTGGTCATTTGTTTACTAGCTCAATGGGATTATGCCAGAGCAAGTCACAGACCTAAAAGAATCTCCACCTATCAAGACACCCACAAAATAGAGAGCAATGGTTTCAAGCCTGTTTACAAAAAATGGGAAGTTTACCTTACCAGACTTATGCTTTTCCTTACAAGATTGCATGTGGGCTAGCCAAAGGAAATTGGACTCATTATAGACATTATATTGAACAATTTGCACACACTTATGAAAAACATGTGTACATTCTTCATCATCATTAATTGTGTGTTTTCATGTGATGTAAAATAAATGAAAAAAAAGTACCTTTTGTCTGTCATACTCCAAAGTCTGTTTAAACAGGAGAGAAGGTTCACCGCAGTCCCCATGCACTCATAAGCAGATCTCGGGGGCCAGTAGATACACTCGGGTAGTTTTCTTTCCCCTGTGATATAATGTCAATATTTAATGGAAAATTCAGAAATTCATCAGCACTTAGAGATAAAAACTTACTATCTTTATGGTATTGATTTCCATTATCAGATTTCTTTTTATCCATTTTAAAATATAAACATGTAAATTAAACAGAATTAAAAATTATATCTCATTGAAACTTTTAGATTCAAGTTTGTTTTGTTTTTTTATGTTAGTTAATTCACTGTGTATTTCCAAAGGAAGACCAGCAGCCAGCACGCTTCACTTCATAGAGAATGGATTAAAGATGGTTAGGAACAAAACATATCTTCCATGTTGAGGACTGTATAGAAAATAAAACCATTTTTGTTATTATGATAAAATGTTACATAAACATATTTAAATGTAATGCAAAATAATAGCTCTTATATATGGGTACCTATACTCTAATCAATTAAATTAAATTTCATTCGTAAAATGTATTTTTTAAGACAGATTTATTTAGGATCGACTTTAAATGATGACATGAATAGCAGGCCATACTTTAAGCACATGACAAAACATTCTCTCAAATTACACAGAAATGGGATATTTAGCATAGCTGACATTAAACATATAGGTGAGTGATAACATAATCACAATCATAAACAATGTGAAAAAACTTTAAACGACCTACACGGTGGATTACAAGCCTTTTTAACTGGGGTAAAATCTTGCAGAGATTCATCATGGCGGCATAATTTACATAGAAAATTAAGTCGTACTTGAACACATTCAGTGTAAAGTGTTTATGAGTTTAGCAAAATTTGTGGCCTGGTGTTTTCTTGACACATTCGTTTCTTCGACTGTATAAGAAGGTAATCTTTTCTTTTCTTTTCTGTTTTGTTTTTTTTTTTAACACGCAATGTTTCGTTTTTTGACTGTATAAAAAAAAGATCATCTTTTCTTTCTAAGATACAATCGTTTCTTTGACTGTATTTTGAAAAAAAAAAGATCATCTTTTTTTTTCTAAGACACACACAGAACGTTTCTTATTTATCGACTGTAAAGTAAGCATCTTTTCTAAACAATTTGCCGGTTGCCGTAAAAACGGCCGTTTTTTGTTATTTTGTTGTTTTTTTTAATTTTTTTGTTTTTTTTTTCTGGTTTTTTTTTGGGATCAGGTGAGGGCTGGGTCCAGATGGGTCCCCTAGGCGGCCAAAAGCTCCTGAACCATGCGTCCAATGTTTTCATCTTCATCATCACTGGAACTGTCAGGGTTAAATTCGGGTCTCCGGGATAAGGATTGGATCAGCCGCTCATGGTTCCGGCAGAGGGGGCACGGAAGGTTTTGCTCTACCACTCTGGCCGTGCAGAGCAGACAGGAGGGTCGTTGTAAACAGCGACTGCAGCAATAGTTACTGGGTTCCCCCTCTGCCAGGCACAGGCTGCAAAGAATCCGTTGGGTGGGCACCCGGAAGCCCCAGGGGGGAATCCGTCCCTCGTTCCTAGCCCGTGTCTGGGGACCAGCAGGTCTGGGCGGCGGTGGGGGCGGCGATCGGGGTGCTCACCTCCTTCTGTGAGGGTGTGCCCTTCTGTTTTGTGGCTCGGTATTGAGCTGTATCCTCACCATGTTGAATCTACTGATCTCTGCCCCTGTGTCTATCCTCCTCACTATTACTTGGTGTTCAATAGAAATCCCAGGGATCATAAAAAGTTCCTCCTGAAACAGGTTTTCCATCTTCTTCTTCTTGTTCTAACCAGAATAAAATGCAGAATGACAGTGAGTTCTCAGGAGGGTCTGTATTTATACACAATACCAGACGATAGTCAAATATCGCGGCAAACATCGATAATCCATCATGTGATTAAAATCCTGACATGTGATAGGATAACACAAAAAAAATCGCCTTTGCAAAAAGCAAACGACAGTTCAATATGGCGGCAACATCGATAATCAATCATGTGATTAAAAATCTTGACATGTGATAGGCTAACACAAAAAATATCGCTTTTGGAAAAAGCGCCACCTAACATGTAAAACAAGAAATCATGTAAATAAGGGATAAACTTATGGATATTCAACATCTTTCCATTGTCCGTACACAATACAATATAAAATAAGATAACAGTTAAATCATCGAATACTATATATATTAAACAACTTTCAATCATTAATTTCAATCATACACAATGTTTTCTCCAATTATTGAACACATCAAATAATCAACATTCGAGCGTAAATTGATCGACTACATTAACAGTGACAAAGCGAAATTCAGGGAACCCGAACCCGAGTGTATAAAGATGACGTCATACAATAACATAACACTGAAGTGATATTAAATGATTTTATTTTTTTTTTCTTTAAAACTAACAAAAGTTTCTAACTGTCGAATTCTCCGCCGGAATCGTATTAGATCCGCTACTAATTGCATCCAGGGGCTTCTCCGGTCTTCGGGGGGGGGTAGTGATTCGTAGATTTGATTGAGGTTGGTATTAAAAGTCACTGATTTCCTAGCCTGTGTGAAATTTCCAGCCATTTCATTCCGTATTGAATACATACTTTCTCCATCGCATCTATGTCCTGCCACAGTAAAATCACTTTGGCCGCTTGGGGATGGGTTAGGAAACTGTACGGCTTTCCGAAATAAGGGGTTAGGCTCAGTCCGTACCATTTGTGGGGTAGAATTGTTTTCATATGTCGACATAGAAAATGTATGGTAGCTAGTTTCCCCATGGTCGCATGATGTGATAAGGCTAGGCATTGTAACCATAAATCCTGAGGGGTTTCCATGATAGTGCTCGCTTCCTGAAATACTCCCAGTACTTGTTCTGCCTCCGGGGGGTAGAGATTCTTGGTGGTTTTGTGCCCATCGTACTAAACAATCATACCCATCTAAAATCAGAGAGTGAGTGTGTATCAGGATTGACATGATAGTCGAATGTGAAGAAAGGACCAGACTTTTTCTTCTCATTTATACCCCCTCGTAGAAAACGCAGGTAAAATGTATATTGCTTTGCACACGGCCCTAGTATTACCTGTATAGTCAGCATAAAAAAACCGTACGTCTATCGTATTTTTTGCACACGGTCCTTACAGATGATGCAACAGGTATAAAAACGCAGGTAAAACGTATATTTTTTGCACACGCCCCTTACAGTAAAGGTATATAAACCAGAGCTGGACATGGAGGATCATTCTTCGTTAGTACTTGGAACTAGGCACAGGTAAAATGGAGCACACAAAAAATATGACAAAGAAAACGGAGACTCGTTGGTATATTGAGAGATTAGGAGG